GAACGCGCACATGTATTTTTTATTTGAAATTAAAGGCAATGAATAATAAAAACATTTTTCAAGACGTGCACAGTAAAAATCCTTTTCAATAAAGTTATATAAATTAATATCAGACATGCAAGATCAAAGGGATAAGCCTAAAGACCTATCTAAAATAGATTTATTGAAACAACGAATCATTGATCTCGAGACTAAAAATGCCGAAATTCCTGAACTTAAGAAGAAATTACTAAAATTTGACGAAATTGAGGCTGAAAACAAAAGGCTGGGACAAATCATTGAAGAGAATTCTAGACGTGATGCAGAGTTTAAGAGCAGAATTGAGGAGTTAGAAAAAAGTAGAACAGATATTGTTTCCGAGAATGCTAAGCTTAAAACTGAAGTAGCAAAATTAAGACGTGATTTTGAGGAAATCACATCAAAGGATTCTCCAGAGCAATTACCTGAACAGATAGGCTTACGATGTAATGATACTCCTGCATCTGATATAACTAATAACACTTCAAATTCTGATGTATGCCAGGAGTCATCGTCCCAATATCCCGCATCACCTATTCGCACAGAGGCTAAATCATCAGAGGACAAGGAGGTGGATGTATTTCACGACTCAATATTTAATGAAAGGGTTAGAAAAGAGAAGAAACTTCGAGATCAAGAGGTATCTTCGGGGAGACAAGACACTTCAGAAGAATTGATGTCCTCTCATCCACCTTCTACCAATAATGACGTGAGCCGGCTTCCAGCTAAAGATTCTAATCCTGAAGCGAAACTTTTTTATTTGGGGTCTGTTGCAGAGCAACGCCATTACCATGACAAATCACCGGAAGACAAAGCAATTGACGAATTCCTAGATTCAGAGTATAGAGAAACGGTTAGTAAAAAGATAATTCAAAATATTAAGGAGGAAAAACTTCGAGATCAAGAGAAATTCATAACTTCCCAGGATACTATCCCTAATATTTCTTCCGAAATAAAAATTCCCTATAATCAGAAAGTAGAACGAGGTTTAATAAGTGAATTGCTTGAATTTATTAGGAGCAACGACGCCACAATCCCACAAAATTCGTATTCTATATCTGGAAAACAAAATTTTGACTTATTTAAGAAAAATATGACATATGTGGGTGATTTAACTATAGGTACCACACCTTACCTAGCACATGTTGGCTTACGCCAATATGCCATAGAGCATGGAATGGATCCTGAAGAATTTTCAATCATTACAGAGGCTGAAAGAAATAGGTGGGCTATAGGTTGTTTTCCTGCCGATTTGGAAAGAGATATACGCTTTTATCGCGGTGGAATAGAAAGTAAAGAAGACCCTGGAAAATATCGTGAATTTTTAACAGATCGGGAGAGGCTGGTCGGTGAAGAGTTATTACGTCGCAGTATGGTAAAGAGCGGTTTAAGTACTGCATGGCTCGATAATCTTATGGAAGAATGGGAAAAAACTTATAATCAATTCAAATTTTTAGCCAGTCCTAGCCAAAAAATAAATCACATTTTGCCGTTATATTACGATTTCGATCATGGAAATAAAAGTACGTTCATAAATTTTTGTTTCATAACACATCATGGCTATACCTCTATTTATACACATTTAAATCTCGACTAATTTTTCTACCCATTCACACAACCATGTTAAAATAAAAAATGGCGAGCCCATAGGACCCCTCTTTATTTCATAAAAATGTTGCCGGAACAACAATATAACATACAAATAAAAAAAAATTTTATAATAAAAAAATAAAAAAAACATGATATAGGGGGTACGATTATAGATAGTCATCTGCATGACCAGGATTTATAACACTCCAGTCATCATTTTTTTTATAATTTTCTACGGCTTCTCTCGAAATAGGGTAGAGGGGGTCATTATCTGATTTTAATGTAACAGAAAATTATATTTCAGAGAAATACTCAAAACCCGTTCCAGAAAAATACAAACTTAATTACGCAATATGAAATTTACTTACAAGTTCTATTACTGTATTGGGGTCTTCGATTAGACGACCTTGGATTAGACGTTACTGGGTTAGACGGTGTTGAGTTAGGTGGTGCTGGGTTGGACGGTGCTGGGTTAGACGGTGTTGGATTGTTAGAATTATTAGTACTGCTCATTTTGTGTTCCTAAAAATAAAAAATCATAATGAATAAGGTTTCGCCTTAGTAGTCATCCTAGAAAACAATTGTAGGTCGAAACCCTCCGTATAAAACAAATACATACGTTAGAAATAAATTACAAGTGAATTAAGTAAAAAAAATTATATATGAGCAAAAAATATTATAACCCACCCAACAAGGAACAAAAAATCGCTTATTTTTATACTTAGCATTCGTTAGATCTGAGAACCTGCCAGAAAAAAAAAGTTACATGATTAGTAATCGCGTTACTCTAGCACTACCAGATCACACTTAACAAAGCAATTCCGCTCGGTCATAAGTTCCAAATACTGAATATATTTTGTAGTTTTTTTTAGGTAAATTGAGCCCCCTTAGATTCGACGATCTCTCCTGCGAAGTGAAAAGTTAACGATCTCGACGATCTGGGAATTCCAAGTTCCTGCGATATATGAATTTGGATAAAACTACTGATAAATAACGTTATACTCTTTCTTCTTATAACCCATTTAAGTCCCATTCGTGATTTGTTCTTATCGCGGGATCATATAATAAGAAAAGGGTTTAGTTATTCGTGATATTTGTTATAAATCAAAAATCGACCGTGAGAAATGACCGGGGTAAAATCGCCACCCAAAAAAGTTTCGAAAATCATGTGATATTATCAATTCATCATGATTATGCGTAATAACGATAATATTTATAAAATATGAATTGATTTAGTAAGTGATTTATTTTCTTCGATTCTTCAAAATGAAAGCGATCGTTGCAATCTCGACAAACTAGGTGATTCTTTTAAAGGCATAAAATTCAATAAACACAATATTCTATGTAAAAATATACATCGATTGACGTAACCCAATTTCCACTAATAATAAACGAAAAAACAAGAATGAAAATCGAAATAAATTTATAAAAACTAATCAAGAAAAATGTAAATGCACAGAAAACCTTGTAGACTTTATTTTTAATGCTCCTCCGGAAGACTATA